AAAGGCTTCAAAAGAAACACTCAAAAAGGGTACAACTCAAGGATAAAAATGTATGCACAAGAACGATACCTACGGCCTCCTCCTCCAATATGCCCTCAGCCTCATCCTGCGACCTGCTCATCACGAATACCCTGCCCGAAGGCTTCGTCCCTCCCGAGCCACGGCTAAAACTCCCTCCCGACAGTCCCCCGGGCCTGGTGCTAGACGGTAGAGCTCCCTGATCGGACTGGAGGTGACACTCATAGGCTTTGTGGCCTCTCCTTCCACACTTGAAGCACTAGAGCAGGTTACCTTGACAGTCCTTCCCGATGTGGTCCTTTCCACATCTCCTACACTCGAAGGGTTTCCCTTTCTCTCCATTATCTGCCCGAGCTGATCCCTGAGTCTGAGAAGGAGCTGGTCTTGCCCTAAAGTCTTGCCTCGGCCTCTTGAAACCTTATGGCCCACTCCCTTCGCCCCTTTTCTTAGCCAACTCTTTGTAGCTACTTCACTCGGTACAAATCCGCCGCACTCAAATAAGCTTCATTGAACGTCCTTGGTTTGCTTACCGTTAAGGCCTTCCTTGCTTCATAGTTGAGTCCTGCAACGAACTTTTCCACTTTAGCCAACTCGGTGGGGACCAACATTCACGCGAAGCGGGCCAACTCAAGGAAACGATTATGGTATTCCACCACTGTCGATGTCCCTTGCTTAAGGTGGAGGAACTCTTCATACATGGCTGCCCTCACGTGAGACGAGTAGAACCTTTCCCGCAACTTATCCTTCAACGCCAACCAATCAAACCCTGGATCTTAGAGGCACGCCGGGCCTTCATGCACCCACCAAAGATCTGCCTCATGGCTGAAGTAGAACGTGGCCAACTCAACACGACGGTCTTCCAGGCAACCAACTACCGCGGAAATCTTGTCCAAAGATCGAATCCATTCCTCAAGAATGGCGGGGTCTTCTTCCCTAGCAAGGACAGGCGGTCGATGACCCAAAACTAGACGACCCACATCACGGTTCCCAACAGGTGGTGGTGGAGGGTTGTTGTTGTTGTTCAAGAGAGCGTTGCTTAGCGTCTGCGTGAGGTGCTGAAGGTTCTGTACTAGCTGCTCATTGGTAGGCGTCTCTGGTGTCCGAGCACGGTAGCGAGGCGGTGCCATTGCAAGATTCTACAGAAACAACATGATTACGGCAAAACACGAGGAAGTTGAGCACCCTTACCCGGTGCTTTAAACGAGAGAGTGAAGACTAAACAAGGACAACAAAACAAGCACAACAAACGATAGAGGAAACTCACATCTAATCGCGCGTCCTAAGCGTCTTGAATTAAGTCCTGACACTTAGGTACTTAGAGGTCAACTTAGAGTCTTAAATCATACTTAACTCCTTAAAATCCAACTCCTAACATCCTATGTTCAATCCCAGGCACTGATACCAACTGTAACACCCCCGAATTTTACCAACATTTTTAAAGCTTAATTTAAAGAAAACAGTCTAATCATTAGGCATAAACAAAGCGGAAGCTAACATAATTCGGGAAGTGCTATGCCACACCTATACCAAAAGATAGGTGCAAAGGCTACAACTAAAACCATGTTCAACAATCTAAGGCTCACAGGCCAACAAAACAGAATAAGTCTAAGCAAAGGGAAGTGGGAAGAACTACATTATCTAGGGTCCACATCTAGCGCGCTCTTCGATCTAATCAAAACCTGTAAAGACAAGGGATAATACCCGGTCAGCGAATAATGCTGGTAACCAACCAATACGCGTAAAAATCAATATATATACATAGATATAGTCAAAACCATTTGGAAATGAGGAGTACAGTATATAGCATTTGAAAACCAAGAGATGAGACAACAATCAACATATCACACTCTCAATAAAGATCAAGAAACAACTTCAACAAAGCAAAAGAGACCACAATCAACAAGTGACAACCACAACTCTAGATGCAACCTACCATTCACAAGGTAGCGTTCATCATAGACATGCTCATAAGCAAGAAATACAACAATCACATAATGACAAGTTTCACGTTCCAACCTTATGCCCTGTTCCAACCTTATGGCTACCCTCGGCATTATTTCAGGTTCAACCGTTACTTCCTAGTGCCACCCTGTACTTTTGAGTCCAACCTTATTCCGTCTGAGACCGTCGTCCCCCACCAATCATTAAACCATCGATCTCTCAGTACATGAGGGAACCATTAAATTCATAGTAACATACCACTGATCTCGTGAGCGAAGCTCAAGTAACAAAACCACCAACCTCATTCATATTCACACATAGTCATCATCAAGAAGATTAAGGCTCATCAATAGCCCAATCAAGTATCAACAAAGGGTACAACGATTTGTATAAGATCACACCATAAGAATCAACCAAGAGGTTTCAATAAAGACATGAAGCAATACTCAACAACAATGGACTACAATCCAATACCAATATGATTGGCAACACGAGTTGCCAATCCTCAACAAGAAGGAACAAACCATACAAACTAGCATAACAACATTAAACTAGCATGCTCATAAAAAACGGTTAAACCAAAATGGTTCCATCGAACCTTCAAGACTCATATTAGTCCAACGAATCACAAGGTTGGACCCTTAGCACGATTCAAGACACCAAATCCTAACATGGATTCCTAAACCATCGTTCTAGACATACGAAACATCAAAAAGACTCACAAAAGCTCAATAATCCAACAACGGAACGTCAAAACATCAAATACCAAAAGGAAATAACCACGGGGAAACAATTCTCAGTCATCATCATAATCGTTCCCCGCGGGTGGGGCCACTGGTAGGCCACCACCTGTGGTCCTGCCCGCGGGGTACTATCCCTCAAAGCCACGTTCCCCTCGGGTGGGGCGGCGGGTAGGCCACTGCCCACCGTTCCGCCCGCGGGGTACCTTCTGTACACCACATTTTTCCCTTCGGGGAAATTCATCTCCAAGGTCAAGTTCAAGTCCAAAACACCCAAAACCTCACACACAACAAAGATATGACTTGAACCCAAGAATAGCTCAAAGAAAGGCATTCGAGAACCCTAAATACAAGCTCTAAACATGCATTATCACGAGATCATGCATCAAATCTCACAAATACACCAAGAATCATCAAATAGAAGCCAATAATCATTCATAGCAATAGAAAATAAATTTTGTTGAGCATGGGTTACCTTTGGAGACCAAAAACCACTTTCTTCTTACACTCCTAAGCCTTTCCTTGAAGATCTTTCTCACCCAAGACTTCTTGCACAACCAAACCACAAGAAAACACCAAAATAAGATAAAGATACCTTAAAGCTAACTAAAAACACTAAATATCTTTAGATCTTACCATTTCCTATGCTAGGGAGATAGAAAGGTGGAATCTTTAGATGAATCTTTGCAAGGCTAGGTAATTCTTCTTCTAGCTTGGAGAGAAAGCTAAGATTTCTTTAAAGAGAAGGTGGAGTGTTTATGACTTGGCTAGCAAGGGAAATGAGTGAAGTGTCTTGCTAGGGAAAACTTGAGCATCAAAACATGCGTGAAAGGTCAACTTTACCCTTACTAAAGTTAGGAAGACAAAAGGGTTGAGGTACAAAGCTTAAGTCAAAAGGTACACATGGTTGACTAGGGAAACTAGTCAAATTCTAGTCCCTCGACTATTAAATTTTAGGATTTTTAGAAGGAAATTATCAAGGAAAATTAGGATTAATTTTTCAATTAATCTCAATTAAGGGTTAGATTTACGGGGTGTCACACTATATGTCTTTCTAAGTATCGACATGAAGGAAGAATTGCTGGGAAGTGTACTCGAGGAATCAAAGTGAATACTATGCCTCGTGAAGATGTTGAGCAAGAACACTTGTACATCTTGCATAATACAAGTGAAGTTGAACCATATTTAGATGAACACAAGGCCTTGATTAGGGAGCAAAATCCAAGAAGGACAGACATGTGGATTGTGGGCGAACATAATCGTACTTTTATTGGTTGGTTCAAAAATAAAGTTTTTAAAGATAATAATGTTTCTGAAACTGTTTCATGGTTAGCTCATGGTCCTGGGATGAATTTCATATGTCATAATGGATATGACATTAATGGGTTTTCTCTTTATACAAAAGCTCAAGATGAAAAGAGCACTATGCAAAACAGTGGAGTTTCTTTGGTTGCAAATTCAATGCATTTCAATAGTTCGAAAGATACAAATCTTGTGTTTGTAGAGTTTTAATATTATGGTGTGATTGAAGAAATATGGGAGGTTGATTATGTTTTGTTTAGGGTGCCGGTGTTCCGATGTAAATGGGTAGATAATAAACATGGTGTAAAAGTTGATGATTTAGGATTTACACTTGTAGATCTTAATCGGGAAGGACACAAAAATGAGAAGTTCATAATGGCATCCCAAGCAAAACAAGTATTTTATGTTAGTGATCCTTGTGATAAAAAATGGTCAGTTGTTTTTCATGGAAAAAGACAAATTACTGGAGATGAGAATGGAGATGTTAGTTTTGATATTGAGGAAATACCAACATTTTCTTCAAGTTTATCGCCCGCTATTGTAGATAATGAGATAGATGAAGTGCATGAATCACGAGATGATCATCATGAAGGGATATGGGAGCATTGATTATTATATGTAATGCTTTAATTAATTATTTATTCTGTTTTTTAGTTGTCATATTGTAATACTTCTATATATTTTTCACTTACTAATAATTTTTCTTTCTAAACAGGAGTATGGATTCATCAAATGATGATGGTACTACACAAGGTACTCATACTACTCAAAGTAGTGATACTACTTCTAAGTCGAGGGGTGCCACTCATATGCAAAAAATCATTCTACAGTGTTCTACTTCGGGGAAACAACAAATTGAGTTTGATGGATTGGATTCTGTCTTCGGGCCAACTGGCAGTGCATTTAAAAGTTATGTTGCATTAGTGGGACGAATCAATATTCCTATCACAATAGACTCATGGCTGAATGTCCCAACAAAGACTCAGGCGCTTATTTGGAAAGATATCCTAGTAACTTTTTTTTTTAAAGATTTATATTTATACAAAAAGTTAATATAATTACATTTCTTACTAATAAATAGTAATCTTGTTTTGTAGGATACTTATGATATTCCCGACACAATTGATATGAAGAAACATTAGATGCAATATGTGGGTGACCGGTGGAAAGATTTTAAAACAAAATTGGTCAACAAGTATATATACGGTTCTTTTTCAGGTAGGAACCCTTGTGAAAAATACGACTTCCTTGAACAAGGGACATGGAATGAGTTTGTTCAACATCATACAGGTTCAGAATATGAGGTATCATTATTATTCTATCAATTATTAACTCAAATATGTTAATTATATAAATTGATTAATATTTTGTATTTATGTAGGCAAAAAGAAAAAAATATCAAGACATACCAGCTAAGAATATTCATCCACATCTTTTAGCTCTAGGAGGTTATAAAAGGTTGGAGAAGATAATGATGGAAGAGAATATGAAAGAAAAACAAGCATGTGCTAATTCAGATCCATCGTATACAATGACTCCTCCAAGTCCTCCACGTAAAGCCGTGGAAGAAAGCAAGAATGGATAAGTCAGAAAATTTTCGCATCGAATCAACTAGATTGGTGGTAGAAAAAATTGTAAGTAAATATGTTATAATTTACTACATTACTAGTAATAATTATTGAATAATTTTTATATATGTTAGGATGTTCTTGAGTTGTAAATTTCTCAAGGAGAATTTGTTGAGGATGGAAGACAAGATTCATTAACTGTTGCATTGGGGACTAATGAGCATTCTAGACGTGTTAGAGCCATGGGAAGAGGACATGGCATCAAAAGCGTATTTGGCCATGCAAAACGTCGCCAAAAGCCTCCTAAAGATGTTCAACGATTGGTTGATACTGCTTTTGATGCACGTGTTGATGCTGCTGTTGCACAAGTGTTAGAAAAACAAAATCAGCAATTTAATTCTATGCAAGAGGAATTGAGTCAGCGATTAACTCAGCAATTTGAAGCACGAATGGCTGAGATGATGCATCAATTTGGTTCTCTGCAGACTCCTATTCACCAATCTGTACAATCAAGGCAATGGAATGACGTATGTGTGGATGCTGGGCCACAATCTCAAAGTGATAAAGCTAGTTCCCCGACTGTAAGTAGTCGTTTATAGTTAATCTTATTATTATTTATTAATAACATTTTATATGATTCTTGATTAAAAATTATTGCAGTTAGGGGCATGATGTCAATTGCTCTTAGAAGATCCTATTAGACATCCAGTGGCATATGTGACAGCTTACACTGGTGGACAGGTTCATGGGGTTGTACTGGATGTAAATCAAGTGAAGGTGAGCATAGATAAAGTTATTAATCCAAGTGCACATGTACCAGTCCCCACCAGTGAGGTTCAGCTTCTAGGTGCTGCATTACAACACTTTATTATTTGGCCAAAGAAGCTGGTAGAGTTATGTACTAAAGCTGATACGGTATGTACACTGAAAATATTTCTATTTTAAAATAGTAAGTAATTTACTTTTTAAAATAATAATTCTTACTTGTATTATAATTCACAGTTAAAGAAAAGGCCAAATTGACTCTTCAATCGGCTGTGCAATCCCATCATCAAGAATTCACTATATCTGCCCAGATTCTTTGAGTGTTGTATGCAAAAAGGCCTCTAGAATAGCTAGCAATCTTGAACACAATCTTGTGATCCATATGGCTCGTGCTATTATGGGCAACATTGAGTATGACTTGTAGCTTGAAAGTGTGGAGAAATTAGGATCTTGAATATGGAAACCATCAATATTAATAGATTATGAACTTGACTGATGTTATTGATGTAAACAATCAGCTTTAAATAACATACAAGGGAGAGAAGATAGCAGGTAGTTAGCAGGTTGTTGTAACAACCAGTCTACACTGCTACATAACAGGAATGCAACTAGAACTAAACATATACAGATGTCAGCCACAGATATCCTTAACAGATATTTCTCTATTTCAGTTCTTTATAAGGTAATAAGTTTTTTAGTATTATTTATTCATAATAGTTTTATATTTATTTATCATCATAATTTTTAGTAATATATATATATATATATATATATATATATATATATATATATATATATATATATATATATAATTGGTTGTGTTTGTGAATAGGGGTCTTTACATTAGTTTTGAGTTGGCATCAAAAGACCTGTATGGCTTCCTAGATCCATTTTGCATTCAACAAAAAATGAATAGTACAGATGTAACACCCCTAATTTTTAAAACATTTAAAGCCTATAAAATAAAGGCAAATCTATCATTATTCATCCAAACGAAGCGGAACTAACAACATAAGTATCGGGGTGCTATGCCACATCTAGGTTTGAGAAACTAGATGCACAAGCTACACTAACTAACAAGCATAAACTATAATTAATATCCATAATACAATCCAAGGCTCACAGGGCATGTAACTAATACTGAACTATCTAAGCTAGGTCCTCGTGTCCATCTAGCGCACTCTGAAGCTACTGATCTGCACCTGAAAAATATACGGTGTAACAACCGTAAGTGAATAATGCTAGTAACCCACTTCCACACGTTAAGTACAATATAGGTAGATATAAGCAAACCATTTTGAGACTGGAATACATATATAATCCTAAACAAACTCTAACTTTAAAACCGAGATCAAGACTCAAGACACGACAACAGGTTTAACATTACGAATCATCATAAAGATACTAGCATGCGTCCTAACTTGCAAGGTAAGATAACCACAAAGCTCAACAATAACAAACAATAACAAAAACAAGGCACAACGACAAGCAAAGGAAACAACAACAACAGTATCACAATCTAGCCTTATGCCATGTTCCAACCTTTACTCCTCTCCATCCTTATATCAGTTCCAACTTGTACCTCCAGGCCACCCTTATAACGCCACCCCCCTTATCCCTCCGGAGCACTTCATGGCTCCCCTCCAACATATCTCCAACATACCACCAATCTGATAGCTCCGCAGTACCATTCACATGACCCGTGCCTCTAGCACCACTATCAAGGGGTCAGCGCATATAGCTCTGACATGGCACCGCAGCGCTTGTAACTTGACCCATGCCTTTAGCAAGCA